TTCCTCGCCCGATGTATTTACCCTCCCTTCAATATCGGCAGTGTCTGTCTCTCTCTCTCTCGCACGCTCCTCCGGGACGCCCCGTGAGAGCGAGAGAGACAGAGCGACGAAGTTCGGGATCAGCCTGCTTCGCGCTGCGCCATGAACTCGCCTCGCCGGCCGCCTCACGACTCGCAAAGTCTATTGAGGTCCACACACTCACACACACGCAGTCGCTTGGGAGGTCCGCGCCGGCCGCACGCTGCCGTACGTGTGACGGTGTGACTGTGTGGGTGAGAGCAGCACATCCTTTGACGTGGCCAGGCTACGCCAGGCTAAGCCCCGGCCGGCCACTGTCTCTTTCGGGCCAACAAGTGCAGTAAGCTGGTAAGACTGGGCCGGGGCCTCAGCGAGCCACCACTCCGGGGTCGATGACCGGCCGCGCGCGCCGCCCGCGCCGCCCGCGCCGCACGGGGCGCGAAGCGCCAAACGGCAACGCCAGCAAGGTGACGACTAACGGGGGCAGTTGTCTCAAAGAAACGCCGTTAAAAACCCACGTAAAATTACGAAAAAATGTTTGAAAACACTGGCGCGAGTTGCATAGTTTCCCGCGGTATTGTTGACGAGTACGGGTTCGCGGTCGCGGGGTTGCTGTGGCTTGCAGCCCTCCGGGCGGCCCGGTGGCGCCTCGCCCGTCTCGCGGCTCGTGAAAGTGACACAGGCGCCGCCGCGGACAGTGCCTCCACTGCGAGACGCCGGCCTCGGCCGCTGGCGGCCACGCCCCGCCAGACCGCGCCAGACGCCGACAACCCCGTTACCGCGGTCGACGGGCCGCGAGCCGCGGGCCGGAGCCACGGCGGACTCGGGTTCGAGTCCCGTCGGCGGCGGCGGTCTCATTCCAAGCGGTCGCGCTGCCTCTCTGTGCGCCCCTGCGGGACTGCGGGCCGCCCCGTGAGCAAGAGGGACGGCCGGGACGCGTTGCAGTGACAATCAGCGTGCCCTACTCGGCCCCGCTGCCCTCACGGTCTGGCGCGCCGGCTGGACTCGACTCAACACCCCCGTCACGGCCGCACGCGTGCCGTAGAAGGGGCTTCGCGGCACCCCCACCGCCGCCACCACAGTTCGCCGCGCCCGGCGGGGCGTCCCCGGCGTCGCGGCGCCTTGCCATTTCACGAACAATTAATCCGCCACCGAATGGCGGTCGCGTAACAAGGACAAGGGGCTGCTCGTCGAGGAGGCGGCGCGGCGACGACCGCCAACGGAAACCACAGCAGCGGGAGCCGCGGCGGCGCCGCGAGGTGGCGAACTTACGTGCGGTTCCTGTCTGTCTGTCTGTCTGTCTGTCTGTCTTCCGTCCGTCTGTCCGCCCGTCGCGCCAAACGCCCCAGCCGTCACATCGTCACCTTGTAGTGAGACATCCGACGGGGCCACAATGACGGGGTGCTCGTCCTGGGGACTGCTTTCGAAGCAGCTCGCCGTCTCTCTCGCACTCACGGGGCGCCCCGCAGGTGTGCGTGGCGGCCGTCTTGCTCGCCGCGCCCCATTCTCATGGAGATGCAGCAACATCCGGGGGCCTCGGGGGGCGCCCAAGCCGAGGCCCAGGCCGAGGCCCCATCGCCACGCCGAGGTTCCGCGATTGTTCAGCCAGCAGCGCAGCGGCGCAGTGAGCCCCAAAGGGGGCCTGAAGCCTGAAGCGGCCCGGCCCTGCCCAGCCTGGCAGCACAGCCTGGCACAGCCTGGCACAGCCCCGATGAGACCCTCGTGGGAAACACCGACGAGCAAGCAGCCACAGCGAGGGTCCCAACCAGCTCGCAGACCTGTAACCTCGGCTTTCAGAGTCAAGCACTCTCACCACATTGTCAAGGAGATTCAATCACTTCAGAAGAAAGGTACTCGGTGAAAATGTTTGGCATTTGTTACAGACTAAATTGACACGCAAGCTTGGCTGGGCTCGAGGTGACGATCTGCTCGGCTCGTCCACCGCACGTTCCATTCATAGGCAGTCTGCGTGCGTAACCCTCCCCAAGACGCTCACCCCCGCCCCGCCACGCCGCGCCACGCCGGCAGACGCTCCGACGCTCCATCAATATTTCACAATATTTTATTCCGTGTGAATATATTGCCACCACCCACCCATGCGCTCTCCTTATTCATACCAAGGCGAAAAAAATTATTATACAACTCCCGCGCATAATTGTCAGGGCTTTTTTTGTTGTTTTAATGTTTTTTTTAGAACGATGATTCGTATTTTAAAATGCAAGCAATGGCTTCCGTTCTTCCACGGTCGGTTTTTCTTGGCAACTTTTTTAAAAATTGAACAAATTTGTGTGCAAAAACCAAAAGTAGCAAGGTCAGCCAGAGCGCGTCGTTTTATAATAGTTGAAAAGCGAGACAACACAAAAAACAATTTTTGTTTCCTCTCCTAAACCTTCAGCGTCGTGTCCGTGCAAAGCGCGCAATATTGCTCATCTAGAAGCGACTCTGCTGTACGTAGTACTACTGCACCGTTAGGAGGCGGGCAGGGTCAGAGCCACGCTCGGAGCCGCGCTCTGTGCCACGCCCCGGTCGAAGTCAAGAAGGGGTGGAGGTAGACAGGGGAGGGTAACCGATACAGGGAGCGGCCCACAAGCCAACCCCATCCGTCCGTTGCCACAGTGTCGCCACCGGGCCTTCGCGCCAAAGCAATGGAGAACGCTGTAGACGCTGCAATATGGCGAACACACATAATTTTTTTTTTATGAATTCAATGTGCGCGCGGTGCGGTTATAGTAGTAGTGACACTGCGGACTAGTCCGCACCAAGCCGCACCCTCTCTCGAACTGGCCTGGCGAGAAAAGAGCCACTGGGGAGGAGTATGACGACAATGTGTAAGCGCGTCCCCCCTTCACTCACACATGCACACACGCACACACGCACACACACACACACACACACGCACACACACGCAGTCACATGCAGCGGCCGCGTTCCTCTCGGCCCTGCCCGGCGCGTTTTGTTTTCATAGAGCTTTTGTTAGAAACGCGAGCGACGCGGCATAGGGCCAAGGCTTGGCATGGATACACACACACACACACACACACACGAGCGCGTAGAGTAAAGGGCGGCGCGAGGGGCACACGGCGTGTAGAAGCACGTAAACACACACAGTGACAATCGGTTAGGGGAGCGGAAATCTCAGCGGAGCGTATCCGGTCAAGGAGTGGCGGGAGAAAGGGAGGGTTCCCCTTCAAAGGGGCGAATTTGGGGGTCAAGCGGTGAAATATAAAGTGCGGGCAAAGGGCTTCAGCGAGCAAAACTTTCGTATGATACACCCTGAATCTGTTATCCAACTTTTCATTTTTCAATTTTTTAATTGTGGAAATGGGTCCCATTGGTCTGCAACGGTGCTGCGGGTCGCCCTGCGAGTGCGAGTGAGACAGAGTCAACCTGCAGGACGCAGGGCAGGCCCTCCTCGGCGGCCTAATGTCTAATCCAGTGACGTAGTGGCCGGTGGACGCACTGGCGCACTTGGCGCACGTCGGCGGCGAGCTTTGCGGAAGACGCGCCCAAGTGCATCGATAAACAAGCGGGGGGCACTCTCCCCCTGGGCCCCCGTGCCTCTGGCTGGGCCCCTCTGGGCCGCCACGCCACGACCGCAGCGGCAGAGTCACAGAGTCCCACCAACCTTCGATCGACAACCCTCAGAACACGACGAAAACAACCTTGAAATCGTGCGGTACAAATCGACAATGACAGAGAAAAATCGCGAAGAACATTGTAATTCAATTACGTATTTTTAAAAAATTTAATGTTTACTTTGTTGTAGGTATATTTAAAATTGAAATCAAAATGTTGGCGTTAGGAAGGCATGCCGCCAAACTAAACGCCGGCCGCTTTCACCCACCGCGAGGCCCAGCCTGGCCCCTACACCCTAAACCGTGAGCCCTGGTTCCGCGTGTGGCGGTGCCGCGTCGCGCCTTAGAGAGGCGCCGTAGAGAGACGCCTCGCTATTATCCTTTGGGCCGGGCGCTCTTTTGCCGGCCGCGCGTCCGCACGTCGCTCCGGTCTCCATCATGTGCGTTTCGCCGGCCGTCTCCGCGTCACTCAGGCCGACGGGCCGACGGCATGCCGACACCCCGCGGCCCGGTGTCCACACGCACGCACGCACACACACACACACACTCGTCGAAGTGCGCTCCGCCGCTCCGACACGCCGGGCCGCGCAGTGCAGAGCCCGGAGAAATTCGCGCAGTCCAAAAGTCGAAGCAGCGCTGCGACGTTATCGAGAGATGATCGGGTGTTTCTGAAGCCGCGCGTCATCGGCGTCCTGGTCGGCGGGGCCCAGACGGGGCCCAGACGGCCACCGCGTACCTGCGACCGACGGCGACCTGGCGGGCCGCCGCCGGCCGTCGGGTCGGGGTCCTCCCCGATGCCTTCCCCGGGGTCGCGGCACCGGCCCGGCTTTTCGACGAACCGGACGGCAGTCAAGTCAAGTCCGCCGCGCGCGGCGAGGAACAGATTACAACAGGACCTCCTTCGCAAGGGGAACCCCTTCAAGAGGCGTCCCTGCGCAGAGGAGTTCTCCGCAAAACGGAATGTTTTGTTTCCGGAAGCAGCCGCCAAAGAAACTTCTTCCGTGCACTCCCAGCTTCCGGTGCTGCCACACTGTACAGGGTTGGCACTCGCTCCTGAGGGCGTTTTGACTTTTGACGTGTAACGCGGTGTAAGCCGCCCCCGCTTCCGTCGGGGCAACCACACTGCAAGCCACACAACGCCCACGGCGCGGACAGCGTTCCCCGCATTCCGTGGCGGTGCCGCGTTGGGCCGGTTTGCAGTGCAGCCACACAAACAGTGGCGGCACTTACCGGCAGTCCGTCTAGTACACCGTCTGCGACGTGCTCGGTGCCCGGCGGGCGCAAACGCCGAGCCGTGGCGAACTTGACAACCCTTCCCTAGACTCCACGACGGCGACCCCGCGCCGCCGGCACCCCCGGCACGGCAGCCAGCCGCCCTGCCGCTTCAGCTTCGCTAGCTCTGCTCACCTTCATACTGATGTCGTTCTTGTTGAGGTCCGTGGTCGGAGCCTCCCGAAAGTCGAGGTTCCACATGAAGGCTTTCTGGGGCTGCAGCGCCGTGGTGCCGATGATGGTGGCGGCCGTGGCGGTCGGCACCACACACACTCACACACACACTGCACTCTACGACACTGTCACCACCACACTGCAGCACTCGTCGTCCTGCCCCGCGATGCCTCACTTCGCGGATGCTCCCCGGGTACTTCGCGGGTACTTCGCGGTACTTCACGGCGGCGTCCTCGGCCTCGGCGTGGAGGCTGCGTCGCGCGTCCGAGGTCTGTCAGTGCCCTGGGCCGACTGAAGGGGGCCGGGCGGCGGGCCGGGGCCGGTTCGAGGCCAGTGCGGGCCGGCCGTGGGGCGGAGCCTGGCCGCTGCCCCCACCGCCGCCGTCGCCGTGGTCGCCGAGGCCACGCCCCTCCCCCTCCACCGGCACGGCGACGCGGCGACGCCGCGACGCTCTCCTGCTTGCTGATGTCGCTGGCGTCGCGACGCCACGGGGGAGGGGGAGGGGGGTCGCGCCCCCGACACGCCGAGTTTTCTGTTTTTCTTTCGGCGGCGGGGGGCTCCGCGGGGCGGGACGCGGAGCGCCACCGGGCGTCGTTGTCTTGTTGGGGAGGACGCCGATGGAATGACTGTATCACAAACGGACGTGTTGCCAAAAAGAAGGAGACAGACAGGGCGGTGCAGGCTGCGCCGTGGCTGTGCCGGAACACGGGCACGGCGGTGGCGCTTTGCAAGGCGGAGGGCGAGGGCCACCCGCGTGACAGTCACTGCCAAAATGAACAACCAGGTTCACCGCCCTCCTGGCAAAGAGGTGATGGCGCCACGACGGTGGCGTTTAACATCTCGACCTGTTCTCATCGCCCTTTCCCACCACCTACACGACTTACTACACCAGCGTGCATCGCCAGGCCAGGCAGGCCAGGCATCGCCCCCGGCCGCAAATCCCCCGAAGGGAGCACGCGCGAACACGCACACGCGGACTCGCAGGAATCACACACACATACTCACACACAGGCGCACAAGCGCCACGATTCCACCACCGCACGAGCCAGGCAAGGCAAGGCAGAGCCCGGCAGTGTGGGTCCATTCTAATCCTCCCTTCCCTCACTGCCGCTGCGCTGGGCTCGGCGGCGCGGCGGCGCGGCGGCTCGCCCCCCTGGGTCTCCGCCTCGGTCTCCGATTTGCACACTTGACAGAATGAGAACGAGTCGGAGCGAACTGCTCCTCGCAGCGCTACGCCGCGCCGCTCTCCGGAGGGGTGCGGCTCGGCGCTTGGAGCCCCGGCCAGAGCGCCCCGTCGCTCCGTCTCACTCCGTTCCCGGCCGCCCCCTGAGTGCGACAGAGACAGGGCGACGCGCCGTTCGGCAGCGGCCGCCCCGCGGGGGCGCGGTACCTGATCCAATTACAATTATCCATCGGCGGCGCGCTTCTCAGCAGAGTCGTCGCTCTGTCTCTCTCGCACCTACGGGGGACGCCCCGTGAGTGCGAGAGAGACAGCGCGACGAAAACGACTCTCGGAATCGGTCTGCTGCTCGCCCGCCGCGCAGCCGAAACGCCGCGCACGCACTTTCGCGATGTTCCTTTCGGTTCCCTCCGCTCGCCTCTGCTCGCTGCACTGGCAGAGCCAGCCGCCTCGCGCGGTGTGTCCAGAAACCCTGCGCCGACGACGTAGCGTCTATGGTTCTCATGAAAAGTCTGCCAAACGCAGCACAAAGAAAAAGGCAACAAAAAAAGATTTCCCGCTGCCAGTATTCGAACCGTGGACATTTGCATCGATAACAAACGTTGGCGTATCGGCTCCCCGCTCGCTACACACGTTCCTAGTGTACCCGCAGGCGCTGTGCCCCGCTGTGCCGTACGACGCGGCCCGTGAGAAGGGAACTCGCAACCCCTGGGGACTCCGGCCAGCTCCTGCCCCAACAACCCCCCCCCCCCTCTCTCTCTCTCTCTGCCGGAGGCCATGCAGGAGGTCAGCGCAGTGGCACACACACACACACACACACACACACACACACACCCTCCTGCCAGATCAAAATGGTCATTTTCCTCCTTCACTGAATGGCGTAGGAGCGTCAGGTGATTTTCCCTCAAGCCGCGGCCGCACTCCACTGTGGCGAGACGAGGATGTGGTACTCGATGACGAGGACTCTCCGAAATGGTGACACGACGAGGGCGACGCGACGCGACGCGAGGGGAGGCTTGGCCGGCTGGCTGCGCCTCGGCCGCACGCGGCATTCACAGCTTGTTGACTCTCAATGGCTCAGCTTACGCAGTTCATTGCCGGGGCGTGGCGCTGTCGCTCTGTCTCTCTCGCACCCCTACGGTACCGCGGGACGCGCCGTGAGTGCGAGTGAGACAGACGTAGTCGGTCCAGGGCCCTGCAGGGGTGCGACTCGCGTGGCGCGCACGCGTATTTGGATTTCTCGTACCGCACCACATCCCACCCTCGCAACACCTACAATTATTCGGCGACCAATCATTTTTTTCAACAATTCCTTTTGCAACAATCAAAAGTTGTACTTGCTGTTGTGGCTCACGCGGACCAAACTGCCTGGTGGCTGCGAAGTCAAATGTTAGTAGCGAACATTGTGATAGTGTGCTTCGGTCTTTGGACTCGCTGTGAGGCATTCTCGAACAGGCTCGAGTAGTGCTGCGGTGCGACGGAGTGTCGGGGGAGGGGGTGGGGGTGGCACGAGGGTTGGACGAGGAGCGCACTCGATGTAACCGCGCGAGACGATGGTGCTCGACGCGTTGGTCTGAGCAGCCACAGTCAAGTCAGGCAGCATGACGGACCACCAGGCCTTTTCGTGGTCACATAAATCCGAAATTCGGCAAAGGAAAAATTCCAAAGCAGCATAAAATGCAAGAGAAATTTTAACTCGAACGACGAAAATGCGACGCGCTAGCGGCAAGTCCGATCTGACGCGGAGCGCGCGTCGGCGAGCGCGTCCGCACCGTCGCCGCCCCGCCGCGTGCCAGGCCCAGATTATTAGTTTTATCCGGACGCACAGCGTCGCACAGCGCCGCACACAGTACACTGTAAGTGAATTTGGCGGCGGCGCGATTTGATTCCGTTCCGCGTGTGCAGGCGGCAAGGCGCGGCGAGGCGCGGCAAGGCGGCACGTGACCTCCCACAATGGGCCTTTCATCACGATGCGCTGTCTCTCTCGCACGCACGGGGCGTCCCCAAGGAGTGAGAGAGACAGAGAGGCCGAGGCGCCGCCGCCGCCGCCGCGAGAGTCCTCGTCCGCGCGCAGTCGCACGTTGATGCGCGGCCACGCGGCCCAGTGCGCGACCGCCACCCACTCGCCCGTGAGAAACAGGTGAATCCGACGGGCAAACATCGAGCAGCACTGCCCGAAAAGCAGGAGTGTTGTTGCCTATCACTTGTTTTCTTGCAGTTACACTCACTCAGTGTCTGAGGGTAGCATTTCCGAGCGTTTCCCGGGGTGGGGGCATGAAAAATTAGGTTCTGAAGTGTCCAGGGGGCTTTTAACCTCAGCTTAAATTTGACACTCCTCTGGTCGGCTAAATTCGCAGTTTTCAGAGATTCTCCTTACAGGCTTCCCATCTGTAACCCTTCCTTTCCTGGCCTGCCCCCGCGCTGCCCCCGCGCTGCCCCCACTCCTAGGCGGCAGGTCCCGCCTCTCCTTCCGCGCTACAAATCTCTCTAAACCCCCTTGACGAGACACTCGGACACGGAGTGCCTGCCGGCAAGCTGCCGGCCGCCCTGCCCGGTAATCCTTTACCTCTACGCCGCTACACCGTACGCCGCGTGTGTTGCTAATACAACCCATGGTTTACTGGTCGCTCCGGGGAGGAGTCCAGACTCGAGTCCAGACTCGACCCGGGTTCGTTAGCGCGCTGACGGGGCGCCGGCAGTGCTTTCGTCGCTACGTCCCTCTCGCACTCGCCGGCCCGGCCCGTAAGGCCGTAGGGGTGCGAGAGAGACGGAGCGGCGGCATGGCGGGGCTAGTGTGTAGTATTTTTGATGAGGCGGCCGCTCGGCTCGTCGCTTCTGATGCGCCCGCGAGCGTTTTAATATGAAATACATCAGCGGGCCAACGAGGCAACGAGGGCCGGCCTCAGCCGGGCGGCCAGCCAGCCGGCCAGCCAGCCGCAGGCCGCGGGCACTACAGAGCGCCGGACGTGTGGAAGGACGGCTACTCGGACACTGTCAGGAACTCGTGATTTCGCGCCAAAATTAGAGTTTTCTTGAACCGGGGGATGGCATAGAAGTCGATAACGTGTACTCATCCACAAATAAATCACCAAAAATTTAACTCTGTTTCTTCCGGTGTAAAAAAAATCCTTTAAATTTTATTTAGGTTTTTATTTTTTTGCAGCTTTTTCTCGCAGGGTGGTTCGCCATTTAAATTTGGTCCCGGTCGTGTTCGGGGCTTCCCCTGTCTCCGACAAATGACTCGCTCGTAAATGATGTGTTTCTTTTCCGCCTCCGGCTCTAGTTTTTCCTCGTTAATAAGACAGGTGCGAGTGGCTACTACTACAATGGAGATCCAATGAAATACGAGAAGGTACCAGGCACTGTTACAAAAAGTGTCAATTGAAAATCAAGATGATTCAAATTTGGGGGGCCCAAACGAACGGAAACCACGAAGAATTCCCTCTTTCTGACTGTGTCACAATTTTCAAAAAAATGGCAGTTCCCGGTTTTTTTTTCGCCGTGCCTGAAACAACAGCGGCGGGCCTTTTAAACAGATTTACAAGCGCCCCGCTAGTTTTCAGGGCCAGAAGAGCCATACCGGCCCGGCGTGGCTTGCTCGCCGGCCCAGCCGGCCCGGTGTAGGCGTGGCTGCCAGGTAAGACCGGTAGCGGGACAAGCCGGGGCAGCCAGGCCAGCACACAGTAGCTATGGAGGTGCGAGACGGTGCGAGGCCTTGCAAACATGCTTACACGTTACCGCACCCACATGCCCCCCTCCCTCCCCCTCCCCTCCACACCTGTTAGGAGTTGCGCCGGACTGCACTGGCTGGGGTATTCCAGGGTCGTCACCCTCAAGACTACCGAAAGTAAGCGCCACCCGCACACACGTACGCACTCACACACTCACACACACACACACACACGCACGCACACACACACAACTGGAAGTGGAGGAGGTGGATTTGAGGTCAAGGGGTCGAATGCGACTTGGGGCTACGGAAGGGTTACAGATTGATATCATCTTTTTCACGTTTTACTTTGAATTATTTTTTACACGACTGGCTGCCCACTATAGTGACTCTGGTCAAATTTTTAAAAATATTTTTGAAACAAATTT